AGAGGGTTTCAGGAGTCAACACCTCCGAGGCCAGGTCTGAGACCAGGCTGGAGAAATGTTTCCACGTTAAAGATACCCAACTGTTGCAGAAGTATCTCATTCATGCACAAGGTCTATGGTGATTCACTGCAACATGAACAAAATTCGCTGAAAAAACATGCAGAGGAGGATGGTGATGAGTAGGGCACATGTGCAACAGTTGGGTATCTTCATTATTGCTTGAAATATTTCGCCTATACAGTAGGCTTCTTCAGTCAAATACAGTGGCAGCAGGCGTAGTATCAGAGTAAAAATGTATCAGTCCATCAGGCTTATAGAAATCATTTTTGAGATAGTTCCTCAGGATGGAGAAGTGTGCAGCTCCATCCAAAGTCTGGAACAGTGTGTAGATGAAGAATAATAATGGGGTTTTAAATACTGCCGAAGGTCGTGACGACGTAGCAGGAGGCTGCTATTGTGCATGTGTCTTATTCTTCAACTTGTTGGTGTCCCTTGGCCTGGTAGGTAACGCTCTCGCCTTAGTGTCCGTGGTTCAGTCTCTGGCCGGATGGAAACATAAGAACATAAGAACATAAGAACGAAGGAACACTGCAGAAGGCCTACTGGCCCATGCGAGGCAGGTCCAAGTCTCCTACCGGCTTAAGCCAATGCACCCAACCTAGTCAGGTCAGGTCACATTGACTTAAGGGAGGAACACGGCAACCGACCTGGTAGCACAAGCTATCAGGTCTAACTCACACCCACCCACATCCACTCATGTATTTATCCAACCTATTTTTAAAGCTACACAACGTTCTGGCCTCTATAACTGTACTTGGGAGTTTGTTCCACTCATCCACAACTCTATTACCAAACCAGTACTTTCCTATATCCTTCCTGAATCTGAATTTTTCCAACTTAAAACCATTGCTGCGAGTCCTGTCTAGGCTAGATATTTTCAGCACACTATTTACATCCCCTTTATTTATTCCTGTCTTCCATTTATACACCTCAATCATATCCCCCCTAATTCTACGTCTTTCTAGAGAGTGCAGATTCAGGGCCCTTAGTCTATCCTCATAGGGAAGGTTTCTGATACATGGGATCAACTTTGTCATCCTCCTTTGTACATTTTCCAGAGAATTTATATCCATTCTGTAATAAGGTGACCAAAACTGTGCAGCATAATCTAAATGAGGCCTAACCAAGGATGTATAGAGTTGAAGAACAACCTGAGGACTCCTATTATTTATGCTTCTTGATATGAAGCCAAGGATTCTATTAGCTTTATTGCGAACACTTATGCACTGTTGTCTTGGTTTCAGATCACTGCTAACCAGAACTCCTAAATCTTTTTCGCAATCCGTAATATTAAGATCTACATTATTTAGTTTATATGTGGCATGGTTATTGTCCTGTCCAACATTTAGAACTTTGCATTTGTCTATATTAAACTGCATCTGCCACTTCTCCGACCACTGCATCAGTCTATTCAAATCTTCCTGGAGTGCTCGAATGTCCTCGTCAGAATGAATTCGACGGCCTATTTTGGTGTCATCGGCAAACTTGCCGATGTCGCTCTTTATGCCCTCATCTATGTCGTTTATGTAGATTGTGAACAGCAGGGGGCCCAACACTGACCCCTGTGGAACACCGCTCGTGACACTTCCCCACTCTGATTTCTCCCCATTTATGCAAACTCTCTGCTGCCTATTTGTCAACCATGCCTCTATCCAGGAAAAAATTTCTCCTCCTATTCCATGTGCTTTAATTTTCCTCAATAGTCTCTGATGTGGGACCCTGTCAAAAGCCTTACTGAAGTCCATATACACAATATCATATTCATTACCATGATCTGCCTCCTCAAATACCTTAGTGAAAAAAGTTAATAAATTCGTAAGGCAGGAACGCCCCTTTGTAAAACCATGCTGAGATTCGTTGATTAATTTATGCTTTTCAAGGTGGCTACGAACTGCCTCGGCAATTATTGATTCCATAAATTTTCCCACTATGGAGGTTAGGCTTATTGGTCTATAGTTCGAAGCTAAGGACCTGTCACCTGTTTTGAAAATAGGTATCACATTTGCCATTTTCCACTTATCTGGCACCATGCCAGTTTGTAGTGATATGTTGAAAAGATTAGCCAAAGGTGTGCTAAGCACCTCTTTACATTCCTTTAGAACCCTTGCATACAGTTCATCAGGGCCTGGGGATTTGTTAGGTTTTAATTTATCTATTTGCCTAAGGACCATGTCACTTGTGACCCTAATAGTGCACAGTTTATTATCGTCCTGTTCTACATAATTTATCATTACTGGAATATCGCTGGTATCCTCCTGTGTAAAAACTGAGAGGAAGTATGTGTTAAAAATTCTACACATTTCCTTATCACTGTCAGTGAGCTGACCCGAGGAACTTTTGAGTGGGCCTATCTTGTCCCTGATCTTACTTCTGTATACCTGAAAGAATCCTTTTGGGTTAGTCTTCGATTCTCTTGCAACTTTAACCTCATAATCTCTTTTTGCTTTTCTAATTCCCTTTTTTATTTCTCTCTTTAACTGAATATATCGATTTCTCAATTGCCCCTCTCCTCTTTTGATTTGCCTATATATGCCTCTCTTTTGACCAATCAGATATTTTAATCTATTGTTCATCCATTTAGGATCATTTTGTTTGATCTGATTTCCCTATTTGGAACATAATTTGACTGAGCAGCTAGAACTATGCCCTGGAAAGCATCATATCGGCAACCATCACCACCTACCTGACCCTTAGTCAGGTCATTCCAGTTCAGCCCACCTAAGTAATTTTTCAGTCCTATGAAATCAGCCAAGCGAAAGTCAGGGACGGAGACTTGATTGCCATTATTAGGGGAATTCCATGATATATTAAAACTGAGTGATTTGTGATCACTTTCCCCAAGCTCATCATTAACCTCAAGATTATTAATTAGTGTTTCCCTACTGGCAAGAACCAAGTCAAGGAGGTTATTTCCCCTAGTTGGCTCTGTCACAAACTGTTTTAAAAAACAATCCTGGATCGTATCAAGAAAGTCACCTGACTCTAAATTTCCTGTCAAATTGCTCCAGTCAATCTGTCTATAGTTGAAATCTCCCATTAGCACAACATTTTCGTATGTAGATGCCTTACGAATTTCGTCCCATAGAAGTTTACTGCACTCCCTATCAAGATTTGGGGCCCTGTAAATCACACCCAAAATTAGTTTTTCTCGGCCCTCGAGAAGCTGTAACCAAACAGATTCAGTGGCTGACGCTTCTAATTTAATATCTTGTCTAACACAACAATTTAAATTGTCTCTGACATACATCGCTACTCCACCACCTTTCCTGTTGACCCTGTCAGTGTGGAATAATTTATAGCCTTGTATGTGACATTCAGAGGGCATCTCTCTATCTTTCAGATTGAGCCAGGTCTCTGTTATAGCAATAATATCTATGTTTCCTGCACTTGCAATTAATCTTAGCTCATCTATCTTATTTCTTACACTCCTGCTATTAGTATAGTAAACCTTAAGGGAGCTAGTCCCTTGCTGCCCTCTGCTGTCCCCCTTTGTGCCCTCTGCTGTCCCCCTTTGGGCGTGTTTTCTTACATCTGCTGTCCCCGTTCGCCTATCAAGCAAGTAGGTACTTGGGTGTTAGTCGACTGGTGTGGGGTCGCATTCTGGGGGAACAAGACTGAAGGACAACAATGACAGACAGTCCTCGACGACGCAGTGACTTTCTTGGGTAATCCTGGGTGGATAACCCTCCGGGGTCAAAAATCCAAACAAAATCTTATCTCATATACCACTTTAAGCATACTTTTCAGAGATCTTTCCTACGAAGATAGACTGAAGGCGCTGAATTAATAATGGAAGACATGTTGACAACCCTGATGTTGGCTAAGGTTTATCAAAAAAAGTCCTCGCCATTTCTTCCAGTGTCTCCAGTATAAAAGTCGACTCTGTATTCGACAGAGGAAGTCTGTAGCTTAGTAGAAAAGCTTCAGCAATAAACACACTCAAGTGCTGCCCACCTGTATTAGGTTATGTTAGGTTAGGTTGAACATTAAAATGGTATAAAATACCGACAGATTGTTAGGTAAGACACATATGCAACAGTTAGGTATCTTTATTTCGAAACGTTTCGCCTACACAGTAGGCTTCTTCAGTCGAGTACAGAAAAGTTGATAGAAGCAGAAGATACTTGAAGACGATGTAATCAGTCCATCACCCTTAAAGTTTGAGGTGGTCAGTCCCTCAGTCTGGAGAAGAGCATTGTTCCGTTGTCTGAAACAATATGAAGTTGAAGTGACAGGATGGAGCTTTATATAGTGCCAGGAGGTGAGAGCCTACTGTGTAGGCGAAACGTTTCGAAATAAAGATACCTAACTGTTGCATATGTGTCTTACCTAGGTTAGGTTGGTTTAGGTCACCGACTTTTACCCCCCAACAGAAGTGTGACTTAGGTTCTATACCTTTTTTCCGATATCTTTACCTGGATTCTAATGTTATGCTCTGCTATCCTAATGTTCTATACAAATATCATATGAATGGTATGCAATATAGAGGAATTGATGGGTAAAACAAATGTGGAATAACTAGGTAACATTACTTGGAAAATGTTTCTCCTGATCAGCAGACTTCGTAAGTCGAGTACAACAAATGTGGAATAATTAGGTAACATTACTTGGAAAATGTTTCTCCTGATCATCAGACTTCGTAAGTCGAGTACAGAGATAAATTATAATCTGGGAGACAGAAATGTAGAGAGGTAGTCTAAGGTAATTAGATCCTCAGCAATGATGGAAGATGAGAAGAGAGAAGCGTTATTAATTCGTAAATAACATAAGTGGGAACAAAGGAAGGTCGAAAGAGAAAGCCAGACTTGTAAATGTTGGGGGTTTGGGCAGGAGGGTGGGTAGGAGTGAAGGGGAAATAAGGGAAGGGAGGAGAAACAGGGATTAGCTAGGGAGGAGAGGTCAGATTATGGTATAAAAGTCAGATTGTGGGGTCATACACCTTCATTCTCACGACAGAGACCATCATGGCCGCTCTAACGCTGACGCCCAGGACCCGCCTGGCGGTGTGTCTTCTGTTGTTACTGACGGAGGCTTTCCTGGTGGCTTCGTCCCCTGCCCCTCCCGACCAGGACAGCCTGCAGCAAGATCAAGACCTCTTAGAGGTTACAACCGACAATCATGGCCTCTTTAAAGAGACATCTGAAGACAAGAACACCAGAGCGGACGACTCCAAGGCCGATATTTCTGAAGACATCTCTAATGGTACTTCCTCAGAGGAAGACGAATCCAACGAGAACAACCCAAATAACTTTAGGCAGGAATTTATTCTATGTAAGCATTTATTGTCAGTGTTGTAAATATTTTTGTTAATGTCACTATTATTATTATTATTATTATTATTATTATTATTATTAATTATTATTATTATTATTATTATTATTATTATTATTATTATTATTATTATTATTATTATTATTATTATTATTATTATTATTATTATTATATTATTATTGTTGTTGTTGTTGTTTGTTGTTGTGTGTTTGTTGTTGTTGTTGTTATCACATGTCTCTTTTGCAGTGCCACGCGGCCAACGTTCCTTCTACAACAGTTACGAAGATTATTCTGACGAGACCTACGACTCCTTCGACAGCTTTGATTACTACAGACGCTTTGGACGACGATTTCCTCTTGTATTAGAGGTTGTGTGAGCCACAGCCCTGGCTCCTGTGTTTCTGGGATCAGTTCTTCTTGCTATTGTGTATCACCAGTGACGAGACTAATGAGGGCTATATCACGCGTACAGATTGTTCTTACTATTTTCATCGTTGAAGATCTTGTTGCGCTCCATATCCACAATTCTGCCGCTGCTACAGAAGCCATGTCGACTGTCTGCTTTTCTACATTGCTGCTGCCTTATCTGCAAATATTCTCGAGTTTTGCTTTAAATAAACGTTATTAAAATCACTTGCAATATATCAACTTTTCTTTATATGCCCCTCATATCTTTCTAGCCATGTAATATCTGGATTTATAAAGTTTTGATCTACGTTGGGATGAGAGATTGCCAGAGATTTTCGAAAGTTTAAATAAATATAAATGTCAGATCTGAAGGTCTCTGCTAATGTATCTGGCGATGGCAGGTCAATTTTTGTCACTAAAATATTGAAAATATACTTCAAACTCTCTCCCTGATATCTGAAAAAAAAGCAACTGACAGTTTTCGTAATTAATAAGAGATGTCATACGTAAATGGACATAGAGGACATAATTATGGAGGACAAATGAGGTGCCAAGATAATACTCTAAACATAATGTTAATGTAAGAGATCAATAAAATTAATATTGTGCGGTTAATGAAGTAAGGAATCAAAATTACATAAAAAGTTGATTTATTAGTAAGTTATCAGGTGATAATTAATGCTGTGGGACCCTGGGTCTCCATAGTTAATGCTGTGGGACCCTGGGTCTCCATAGTTAATGCTGTGGGACCCTGGGTCTCCATAGTTAATGCTGTGGGACCCTGGGTCTCCATAGTTAATGCTGTGGGACCCTGGGTCTCCATAGTTAATGCTGTGGGACCCTGGGTCTCCATAGTTAATGTTGTGGGACCCTGGGTCTCCATAGTTAATGCTGTGGGACCCTGGGTCTCCATAGTTAATGTTGTGGGACCCTGGGTCTCCATAGTTAATGCTGTGGGACCCTGGGTCTCCATAGTTAATGCTGTGGGACCCTGGGTCTCCATAGTTAATGTTGTGGGACCCTGGGTCTCCATAGTTAATGCTGTGGGACCCTGGGTCTCCATAGTTAATGTTGTGGGACCCTGGGTCTCCATAGTTAATGCTGTGGGACCCTGGGTCTCCATAGTTAATGCTGTGGGACCCTGGGTCTCCATAGTTAATGTTGTGGGACCCTGGGTCTCCATAGTTAATGCTGTGGGACCCTGGGTCTCCATAGTTAATGCTGTGGGACCCTGGGTCTCCATAGTTAATGCTGTGGGACCCTGGGTCTCCATAGTTAATGCTGTGGGACCCTGGGTTTCCATAGTTAATGCTGTGGGACCCTGGGTCTCCATAGTTAATGCTGTGGGACCCTGGGTCTCCATAGTTAATGCTGTGGGACCCTGGGTCTCCATAGACCCAAAACATTGAATGCTGTATGTATTTTAAGTGTTTTATTTCTCATACAATGAACAAAAACTTGTATTACCAGTGCGACATTTTACTGTGGCAACGTTTCGCTCTCCAGGAGCATTGTCAAGCCGTTGCAAACACTGGAAGAACACGGCCTTTTACCTAACACATTGTTGGTAATTCTACCAATATTAATATTATATATGTTCTGTAGATTTCAGTTCCCATGGTGAATAATAATAATAATAATAATAATAATAATAATAATAATAATAATAATAATAATAATAATAATAATAATTTAGTGACACTGAGAGCTTGTTCCACTTATCCATAAATCAGTTTGATGATACGGCTCATAACTTAAAAAACTCAGGTTCGATTCCCTGGCGAGGCACGACGTATCTGCCAGTCTCTCTATACCCGCTGACCCTTGATCACCCAGAGGTATATTAGTGCCCATGAGTTAGTAGGCTGTTATGGGTCGAGTGGTACAAAGGAGAACCAAAGAAATTCAATTCAGGTATACCTGGAGTATACCTGGAGGGGGCTTCAGGGGGTCAACTCCCCCGAGGCCTGAGCCGTGACCAGGCTTCAGCCTGGCTTTCTTCAGTCATCCTGGACGAATGATGTTTGCAGATTAATAATTTAAGAACATAAGAAGGAACACTGCAATAGGCCTACTGGCCCATGCGAGGCAGGTCCAAGTCCCCCACCGGCCCAAGCCAATGCTTTCTTATATTTTTTCTAAATCTAAATTTATTCAACTTTCAAACATTGCAATAAATGCTATCTTAGTTATATTCCTATGTCTAATTATTGCTGCTAACTAGTTGATGGGTAAGACGCTTCTACAACAGATGAAAATCATTCAAACCATACCACGGGTGGGGTTAGAACCCGCGATCAGCCACAAAACTCCAGACCGACGCGCTAGCCACTGGGCCAGCTAGCTACAATAAGATTCATGAACATTAAAATGGTATAAAATACCGACAGGTTGTTAGGTAAGACACATATGCAACAGTTAGGTATCTTTATTATGAAACGTTTCGCCTACTGTGTAGGCGAAACGTTTCATAATAAAGATACCTAACTGTTGCATATGTGTCTTACCCACAATAAGATTCATCCAACTAGGTACATTTCTACACCATAGGAAGGTTAGCATAAGCCACCACTGTGACCACAAATGCAAATCATTACGATTTCGTGAGTCATGGAAATCATTATTGTCATTGAAACGTATCGCCTATGAGGTAGATGTCAACGCCTAGAACATATCTAGAAAGTGGCAGCCCATGGCATTGGGGGAAAAGTGCTCTCGTGGATCGAGTCATGGCTCACTGACAGGAAGCAGAGAGTGTCCATAAATGGGGTTAAATCCGAGTGGGGATCTGTAACAAGTGGCGTTCCACAGGGATCAGTCTTGGGCCCGTTGTTGTTTATAATATATATCAATGATCTTGATGAGGGAATTACTAGTGATATGAGCAAATTCGCCGATGACACAAAGATAGGTAGGATAATTGATTCAAACGTAGATGTTAGGGAACTTCAGGAGGATTTAAACAAACTCTATTCTTGGTCAGAAAAGTGGCAGATGCAGTTCAATGTAGATAAGTGCAAGGTTCTGAAGCTTGGGAGTGCCCATAACCCTAGTACTTATAAATTAAATGATGTAGAACTTAGCCATACAGATTGCGAAAAGGACTTGGGGGTTATGGTGAGCAGCAACCTTAAACCAAGACAGCAATGCCTAAGCGTACGTAATAAGGCAAATAGATTACTGGGATTTATATCAAGAAGTGTAAGCAACAGAAGTCCAGAGGTCATACTGCAGCTTTATACATCATTAGTAAGGCCTCACCTTGATTATGCAGCTCAGTTCTGGTCTCCGTATTACAAAATGGACATAAATTCGTTAGAAAACATTCAGCGTAGGATGACTAAATTAATACATAGCATCAGAAATCTTCCTTATGAAGAAAGATTGAAGACTCTTAAGTTACATTCACTTGTTAGACGAAGAATGAGGGAGACCTGATCGAAGTGTATAAGTGGAAGATAGGTATTAATAAAGGGGATATTAATAAGGTCTTGAGGATGTCTCTCCAAGAGAGAACCCGCAGTAATGGATTTAAATTAGATAAGTTTAGATTTAGAAAGGACATAGGAAAGTATTGGTTTGGAAATAGGGTAGTTGATGAGTGGAACAGTCTACCTAGTTGGGTTATTGAGGCTAGGACTTTGGGTAGTTTCAAATCTAGGTTGGATAAGTACATGAGTGGGAAGGGTTGGATTTGAGTGGGACTTTCACATCAGAGCTTATTTCTTGGGTGGCATTGAAAATTGGGTTGGGTAAATGTTTTGTTAGTGGGATGAATTGTAAAGGACCTGCCTAGTATGGGCCAGCAGGCCTCCTGCAGTGTTCCTCCTTTCTTATGTATGTTTATGTTCTTATAAGAAAGTAACACTGCAGCAGGCCTACTGACTCATGCGAAGCCAGGTCACATTTACTTAAGGAAGGAGCACGACATCTAACCTAGTAGCACAAACTAGTCAGGTCCAACTCAGACCCACCCACACCCACTCATGTATTTATCTGACCTATTTTCAAAATTACACAACGTTTTAGCTTCTATAACTGTACTCGGGAGTTTGTTCCACTCATTCACAACTCTATTACCAAACCACACGTTTCGCTCAACTTTATTACTTAATAAAGTTCCTCTGTGCCTTTGGATTAGCCAAATTATCGGCAATCTAGCTACAAATGATGATGATTGATGAATATTGATGATTGATAGTGAAGGCTGATGATTACACAGTCAGTAATTTTAACCTCTCTTCGCCGCAAAAATTTGTGATGTAAAGGAATAACGTTGTTGTCTCTGGAGTGTAGTGGTGCTGGTGTTAGTGTAGTGGTGTTGGTGTTAGTGTAGTGGTGTTGGTGTTAGTGTAGTGGTGTTGGTGTTAGTGTAGTGGTGTTGGTGTTTAGTGTAGTGGTGTGGTGTTAGTGTAGTGGTGTGGTGTTAGTGTAGTGGTGTGTGTAGTGTAGTGGTGTTGGTGTTAGTGTAGTGGTGCTGGTGTTAGTGTAGTGGTGTTGGTGTTAGTGTAGTGGTGTTGGTGTTAGTGTAGTGGTGTGGTGTAGTGTATTGGTGTTAGTGTAGTGGTGTTTGGTGTTAGTGTAGTGGTGCTGGTGTTAGTGTAGTGGTGTGGTGTTAGTGTAGTGGTGTGGTGTTAGTGTGTGGGTGCTGGTGTTAGTGTAGTGGTGTTGGTGTTAGTGTAGTGGTGCTGGTGTTAGTGTAGTGGTGCTGGTGTTAGTGTAGTGGTGTTGGTGTTAGTGTAGTGGTGCTGGTGTTAGTGTAGTGGTGTTGGTGTTAGTGTATGTGTTGTGTAGTGTAGTGTGTGGTGTTAGTGTAGTGGGTTGTGGTGGTTGTAGTGTAGTGGTTGGTGTTAGTGTTGTGTAGTGTAGTGGTGTTGGTGTTAGTGTAGTGGTGCTGGTGTTAGTGTAGTGGGTGTTGGTGTTAGTGTAGTGGTGTTGGTGTTTGTAGTGGTGTGGTGTTAGTGTAGTGGTGCTGGTGTTAGTGTAGTGGTGGTGTTAGTGGTGTGTGTGAGTGGTTGGTGTTAGTGTAGTGGTGTGGTGTTAGTGTAGTGGTGTGGTGTTAGTGTAGTGGTGTTTGGTGTTATTGTAGTTGGTGTTGGTGTTATGTGTAGTGTGTGTGGTGTGTGTTAGTGTAGTGGTGTTGGTGTTAGTGTAGTGGTGTTGGTGTTAGTGTAGTGGTGTTGGTGTTAGTGTAGTGGTGTTGGTGTTAGTGTAGTGGTGTTGGTGTTAGGTTGTAGTTGGTGTTGGTGTTAGTGTAGTGGTGTTGGTGTTATTGTAGTGGTGTTGGTGTTAGTGTAGTGGTGCTGGTGTTAGTGTAGTGGTGTTGGTGTTATTGTAGTGGTGTTGGTGTTAGTGTAGTGGTGTTGGTGTTAGAGTGTGGTGGTGTTGGTGTGTTAGTGTGTGTTGGTGTTGTGTTGTGGTTAGTGTAGTGGTGTTGGTGTTAGTGTAGTGGTGCTGGTGTTAGTGTAGTGGTGGCTGGTGTTTAGTGTAGTGGTTGGTGTTGGTGTTATTGTAGTGTGTTGTGTTATGTAGTGGTGTTGGTGTTAGTGTAGTGGTGTGGTGTTAGTGTGTGTGAGTGGTGTATGTAGTGGTGTTGGTTGGTTAGTGTAGTTGGTGTGTTGGTGTTAGTGTAGTGGTGTTGGTGTTATGTGTAGTTGGTGTGGTGTTAGTGTAGTGGTGTTGGTGTTATGTATGGTGTGGTGTTAGTGTGGGTGTTTAGGTTGTTAGTGTAGTGGTGTTGGTGTTTTTTGTAGTGGTGTTGGTGTTAGTGTAGTGGTGTTGGTGTTAGTGTAGTGGTGTTGGTGTTATTGTAGTGGTGTTGGTGTAGTTAGTGGTGTGGTGTTATGTATGGTGTGTTTATGTAGTGGTGTGGTGTTAGTGTGTTGGTGTATGTAGGTGGTTGGTGTTAGTGTAGTGGTGTTGGTGTTAGTGTAGTGGTGTTGGTGTTAGTGTAGTGGTGTTGGTGTTAGTGTAGTGGTGTTGGTGTTAGTGTAGTGGTGTTGGTGTTAGTGTAGTGGTGTTGGTGTTAGTGTAGTGGTGTTGGTGTTTGTGTAGTGGGTAGTGTATGGTTGTTAGTGTAGTGTGTGTGTTTGTAGTGTGTTGGTGTTATGTGGTGGTGTTAGTGTAGTGGTGTTGTGTATGTGTTAGTGTAAGTGGTGTTGGTGTTATTGTAGTGGTGTTGGTGTTAGTGTAGTGGTGTTGGTGTTAGTGTAGTGGTGTTGGTGTTAGTGTAGTGGTGTTGGTGTTAGTGTAGTGGTGTTGGTGTCATGTAGTGGTGTTGGTGTTAGTGTAGTGGTGTTGGTGTTAGTGTAGTGGTGTATGGTGTTATGTAGTGGTGTTGGTGTTAGTGTAGTGGTGTTAGTGTTATGTGTGTTGGTTTAGTGTAGTGGTGTTGGTGTTAGTGTGGTGGATGTTGGTGCACTGTAGTGGTGTTGGTGTTCACTGTAGTGGTGTATGGTGTTACATATAGTGGTGTTGGTGTTACGTGTAGTGTGTTGGTGTTACTGTAGTGGTGTGGTTTATGTAGTGGTGTTGGTGTTACTGTAGTGGTGTTGGCGTTATGTAGTGGGTTGGTTCTACTGTAGTGGTGTTATGGTGTTAGTGTAGTGAGTGTGGTGTTAGTGTAGTGGTGTTGGTGTTACTTAGTGGTTGTGGTATTAGTGTAGTGGTGATTGGTGTTACTGTAGTGGTGTTGGTGTTAGTGTAGTGATGTTGGTATTAGTGTAGTGGTGTTGGTGTTAGTGTAGTGGTGTTAGTGTAGTGGTGTTGGTGTTAGTGTAGTGGTGTTAGTGTAGTGGTGTTGGTGTAGAGGTGTTGGTGTTATTGTAGTGGTGTTGGTGCTAGTGTAGAGGTGTTAGTGTTAGTGTAGTGGTGTTGGTTTTAGTGTGGTGGTATTGGTGTTAGTGTAGTGGTGTTGGTGTTATTGTAGTGGTGTTGGTTTTAGTGTGTTGGTGTTGGTGTTAGTGTAGTGACGTTGGTGTTAATGTAGTGGTGTTGGTGTTAGTGTAGTGGTGTTAGTGTAGTGACGTTGGTGTTAATGTAGTGGCGTTGGTGTTAGTGTAGTTGAGTGTGTGCGAATTGGATCCTTCTAGCATAGGTCGGTAAGCCGGATCAAAGAAAAAAAAAGTCACAGCCAAACCTAACCTAAATAAAATGTGACCTGATTTCCCGAACACCCAGTAGGCCTACTACAGCGTTCCTTCATTTCTGTGTTCTTATGTACGGTATATAGCGGTGTGTAGTGAGGTGAAGTCATTCGAGGTGTGTCGAGGCATCGTCTCACTCTTGTTTCTTTCCCTTCGTGTCGGTATTTTATACCATTTATCTCCCACAGTCGGTATTTTTCTATCATTTATCACGTTACTTATGTGTTTACCTTCACTTCGTGTCCATATCTAATGTGCTTTTGTACTTTCTATTATCCTCTATGGAACTGAAATTGCTTCAAGCTCTATGTCATCTAAAATAAAGTTTTCTATGCTGCTTATAGTGTCTATATTCCACAAGAGAATTTGTTTGAGAAACAAATCTAATGACCAGAATAAACTTGATAACTAGTGGAGTGAAGAGAGTAAATGTCTGATTAGAATTCAAGATAATTTTAGGGAGGGGGAGGTTACTAACGTTAACACCCATAATTGAGATGACTGGTGGGATGGGGAGAGGTAGTGAGGTGTTAATGGGCCAGTTCAGGTTTGGGTGGGTATGGGGGAAGAGGAGAGGTCAGACTATGTCATAAAAGCCAAGGCATGGGGGAGAGTTTTGATCATTCTTACCCCAGGAATCATCATGGCCATGTCTCTGGTACCCAGGACCTGCCTGACGGTGTGTCTTCTGCTGCTGACGACGGCTTCCATTGTAGCCTCGACTCCCTATCCTCAAGACCAGCCAGGACACAGCCTAGGGCATGACCTGCCCCAGGACGACACTATTCTTCCAGCCGGAGACTTTAAGGACGAAGAGCTTGATCCTAATAATGTCATCTCAGAGGATGACAGTTCCACTGATTCCACAGTGTACGATCCCCTGGTGAACGAATTAATAGTCAACGAATCCATAGTAAATGAATCCGTTGTGAACGAACCCTTAGTAAACAATACCATGGTAGACGACTCCGTGATACAAGATTCCTTGGTAAGCGACTTAGTGGCGAACGACTCTGTGGTCAGCCCCAACGTAAATGAATCCGCTGAAAATGAATCCACTGAAGACGAATCCGCTGAAAATGAATCGACTGAAGTCCCATCTAAAAACTTAAGACGTGAAATTATTTTGAGTAAGTATGTGTATATGTTCAAGTGCTTAATTATTATTATTATTATTATTATTATTATTATTATTATTATTATTATTATTATTATTATTATTATTATTATTATTATTATTATTATTATTATATATGCCTCTGTACATCACGTACTTGTCCTACACTTCACGTACATCTCCCATTAATAGGTATATCTCTCGTTTTCAGTACGTCCTGTACGTGATCACCGAAGGCATCAAGGACACCATGGTAGTCACCATAGCAGCCACCACAGTAGTCACCATAGTGGTGTCCATGGTAGCCACCACCATAGTAGTCACCACAGCAGCCACCATGGGAATCGCCATGGTAGTCATGGCAGCCACCATCGTCCACGGGGATACCATGGCTAGTGTCAAACCCAAGGACACGGCCATGGAGCAGCCTTAGCAGACTGGCAGCTCTCGCACAACGTACTCTTTGCTGTTCCATCTATCACACAACTGTCTACTTAACGAAAACCCTACTGTTCCATCTATCACACAACTATCTACTTAACGAAGACCCTACTGTTCCATCTATCACACAACTATCTACTTAACGAAGACCCTACTGTTCCATCTATCACACAACTATCTACTTAACGAAGACCCTACTGTTCCATCTATCACACAACTATCTACTTAACGAAGACCCTACTGTTCCATCTATCACACAACTATCTACTTAACGAAGACCCTACTGTTCCATCTATCATAATTCCCATTATATATTTTTCTGTAGTTTTGTCCAAAATAATAACTAATGTAACAATTACTTATTATTTCCCCTTTATTATTATTAAAGTCCAAACATTTCGGTCCACGTTACTGGGAGTTCCGCCACGTTTCGCTCACCAGGAGTTATGAGAAATACCATAAGAAATTAATAAAAAGACAAAATTAGTAACTTTCCTGATTAAATTTACCCATAAAAGTCGAAATAATTTCTGAAGTTAGTGTGTGTCGAGTTATTTTAATAATAATAATAATAATAATAATAATAATAATAATAATAATAATAATAATAATAAATAAAAAATAATAACTATGATAATAATAATAATAATAATAATAATAATAATAATAATAATAATAATAATAATAATAATAATAATAATAATAATAATAATAATAATAATAATAATTCCATTATAATAATACCATAATAATTATAAAAATTATTATAATAATCATTATAATAATTATAATTAATAAAACCATCGACACCATGCCCAGCCCTTCTAGGCCTGAGCCAGAGCTTGTAGCTCACAGGACTGTCATTCCCATTAGCCTCCTTGGGGCGGGGATGGCAGACCAGAGAGGCCTAGCTTGTGGCTAGGCCTGGGGACAGTTGGTCCCAAAGATGAGGAGGTACTTGTGCCTCCTCCCATGGGAGACTTAGGTCTCAGACACTCCCTAAAGAGGGAGCCAAGGCCGGGCCACCACTTGGAAAAGGCCCGGGCCGGGAGAATACCGGCGAATCTTTAATAATAATAATAATGATAATAATAATAATAATAATTAATAAAACCATAAGAGCTGGTGAGGGGTTCTTGATCTAAGGAACTGGATCTGTGCTCCAATTTCCTGAATTAAACCTGAATGTCTTCCCCTCCCACAGGCACTATATAATCCATACAGGTTTAGCGCTCCCCAGGATATTAAAACCATTATAATCGAACAATTATAAAAATAATAATTGTTAATAAAGTAACTGATAATAAAACTATAATAAAACACGAATAATTAATATAATAATAATAATAATAATAATAATAATAATAATAATAATAATAATAATAATAATAATAATAATAATAATAATAATAATAATAATAAAAATGCGATACCCTCATTTATTATATAAATAATTTATTATACAAATAATTCCAATGTTATCAGTAATTCTCAAAAAAAAACTGGTCAGATAATTTCGAACTTCAGCGCAAGCCATTTTCGATTTTTTTGTGAACATTACTAACGTTCAAAAGTGAATTTTTAGATTTAAATAATAAAAGAAATGAATTTTAAAATTCATGGTGATGTTCAGATGAACAGCACTATAGTCAGTGTTCATCTGAACACCGTCATAACACCATCACCACCATCGCTAGTGTTCATTACTGCTATAACACTATCACCACCATCGCTGGTGTTCATCTGAACACCATCATAACACCATCGCTAGTGCTCATTACTGCCATAACACCATTATCACCATCGCTAGTGTACATCTAAACACCATCACTGCTATAACCACCATCGCTACTACTACTACGGACGCATGTAGCAATTTCAAGGCCCACTGTACTTGACTGTAACCAAAAATCAAGGAACAGCCAAAGGCAAACACAAGGGAATGCATTCTTCTTTACCCGTATATTCCTTTACCAAGACATCCACAGTATTTACAGAGTTAAATCACCAGTGTATCATAATCTAGGATGTACAACACCTCAGGATATATAAGAGAGTATATACAAACACTAATCTCAAGAAAAAAATAACAATGGTTATAAATGACCATAATTTTTAAAGGGGTGGACCGATAAGCCAGCGGAAGGCCTCGGTCAGATGACCAAAAGCTCCAAAGGTGAGGTCATCATCTGACCAAGACCCGCGTCAGGAAGCATTTGTCCTGTTTCCTGACGAACTTTACCTAATCTAACCTAACTAATCTCTGGTCGAAGGAGACTCGAACCTACGAACCTTGGGACAAGATACGCAGTGCTATAACCACCCAGCACTGCGTATCTTGTCCCAAGGTTCGCAGGTTCGAGTCTCCTTGGACCAGAGATTAGTGTTTGTGAATATTTCGCCTTTTCTGCGAATTCTAAACATTGTAAAAATATCTCGTCGGTCGATGCATGCAGGGGATGAGATGAAATAGCTAAGGTATTGGGCCAGTGTGGCTGGGCGGTTATAGCACTGCGTATCTTGTTCCAAGGTTCGTAGGTTCGAGTCTCCCTCGACCAGAGATTAGTGTTTGTGAATATTTCGCCTGTTCTGTGAATTCTAAACGTAAGAGAGAATGAGTGTACAAGACCAGCAACAGTGAGTGTCTGATCCCACAGCCGGGTGGTCAAGCACACCGTCACCTCTGCTGATGGGGCCAGCTCTCACGCTGTTGGGTGATTTAAAAAATGGGAAATTTTTTTGAGCAGGGGGGCCCCCTTTAAAAACCTGCCCCAAATTCTGAATTGCCAATTTTTTATTTCGAGAGGGAATGCCAATGGTTTTGTGATGAACATTGAAAAAATTTTGAAACGGGGTTTGAAAAAAAAGACATTTTAGGGAATTTCGGGGCTTTTAAATTAGGGGGAAACGTTTCCCCACATTTGTCACTTCATAAACCCATTCTTCTCTGAAACCCAATGGGCCCAAAGCACTATAGGGCCACCCATAGCCACCGGCAAGTCCGCAGCAGCAGCAGCGCAGCAGCAGCAGCAGCAGCAAAGCACAGCGCACCCAGAAAGAAAGCAGGCAGCAGCAGCAGCAGTGTGAAAACCCAAAAACAGAAATTAGGGAGATCCAGAAACAAATCAGCAACCACAGCAGCATCAACTGTAGTAGCAGCAACGGGTTTTAAAAAGGGGCAACACCCAGAATCAGAAGCACCACATTTAGTTGAACAGCTACAATAGTAGAAGTAGTAAGTAGTAGTGGGTAGTAGAAAAGGTAGAAAATTGTAGTAGAAGTATAGTTATAGTAGTAGTAGCGCAAACAGCTGAAGCTGAAGCAGCTACTATATTTTGGGGTTTTGTGCCGTAGCCCAACATTGTACAGCGACAAAGACAGTAACAGAACATTTTTCACAACAACAAAAACCAACAAGAAAAAACAATAGCAGCTTTTGGCCCAACAACAGCAGAAAACAGTAGCGCAGCCAAAACCCCACACAGCAAGAGGGAATGGTTGAAAAAAACAGGGCGGGAAGGGTGGGGGAAATTTAAAATGAGGAGGGGATAGACCCGCCGAGAGGAAGAGGGGAAAAGGGGTTTAGAGAGGAAAGAGGTAAAGAAGGGGAGAGGTAAAGGGGAGAGAGGTGGGACGGGAGATGGAAAGAACGGGGGAGGGTTAAGAAAGAAGGGAGAGGTAAAAGAAAAGAAATTTAGAGGGGGGGGAAGGGGTTAAATAGATGGGAGAAAGGGTGGAGAAAAAGAACGGATCTAAGGTTTCAGTTAAAAAAAGAGAATGGAGATATAGGGGAAAGGAAAAAAGGGGCCCGGGAAGGGGGAAAAGAGAAAAAAATAAGAGAATTTAAAATTAGGAACGAGGAAAAATTTTTCTAAATAGGAGAGTGAGAAAATGAGTAGAAGCAGTGGGGGAATTTGAACAAGGGGCAGGGAGGAGAAGGAAGGAGAGGACGAAGAGGAGAGTCTGAATTGGGAGGAAAGAAATTTATCAAAGAGGAAGAAAGGGTTAAAATGAGGAAGTGAAAAAGAAAAAGCCCAAGGGAAAGTGAAGGGGGGAAAAAAAAAGGAAAGGGGAAAAAACCCAAATTTGTAAAAGCAAAGGGATGGGGAAAAAGGGCAAAAAACAAAAAACAAGAGGCCGGGAGTTTGCAAACCCATTTTGCAGCTCATACGATTTGCCATCCCCCCCGACCCCCCTTTGGGCGGGGTAGATGGCAACCAGGGGGCCCTGCTTCCCCCCTACGACCCCGTGGGGGGGGGGAATGTGGTGGGCCCCGGGGGAAAACTTGGTCCCAAAGATGGGGAAGGTACTTGTCCTCCTCCCAGGGGAGATTTAAAGTCTCGAACATTCCCAGATGGGGAGCCGGGGGCCGGGGGTAACCACAACTTGGAAAAGCCCCGGGGCCGGGAGAATCCCGGGAAAAAAAAAAACTAAAGACAAGGGAAAAAAGAATAACAGAACGGGAAGAAAGTTTTTTTTTTTAAAATTTAGCAAAATCGGAAAACCCCCGCAGTGTCCCCGGGTTTACCCAATTCTATGTGACATTTAGCTTCATTTTCCCCTCCCGGGAAAAACCCTAGATGGGTTTCGGGGGGGTTAGGCCCCCGGGGCCCCCGGCCTGAGGAAAAGGAAGGGGTTACTTATTAAAGTAAAGGGGGGGGGGTTGGGGGGAGGAACAGCGGTTTTCGTAAACAAGATAATTAAGGGGATGGAAAAGGGCCCGAATAAAAAGTGAGAATCCTGGGGAAAGAGAGGTCAGACCATGACAAAAAAGTCGGGAAGTGGGGGGATTTTACAGACCATACTCTCCCCCCCGGGCCCCATCAGGGCCCACCCCAATTGCTGATGCCCAGAAGCTCCCCTGACTCCTGCTTTCTACTGCTGCTGACGGAAGCTTTCCTTGGGGCCCCGGGCCCCCCCTTCCCCCCACCCCAGCATGACCTCAGCAAGGCGACAGTTCTGAAGAATGTTCGATACATGCAACCCAGTTTGAGAACGGCCCAAGAAAAGGACAAAGGATAGATTTTTAAGGACGACTTTAAATGAGAAAATATTGACCTACAGACAAATATCTGAAGGTGACGAACCTAAAAAAGGGATTTTTCCAAGAACGATAAACTAAAAACAGCCGGGAAGCGGGAGGAAAAAAGAAACCCAAAGAATGAGGCCACAGAAGATGAAGGCCAAAAGGAAAGGGGCCCACGAAAAAGAAGGCAAAAAGGGAAAGGGGGCCCACAGAAGATAAGGCACAAGGAACAGGCCACAGAAGATAAAAAGCACGGAAGGAAAGGGCCAAAAGAA